TGTGGCATCCGATGGCAACGCATGCAAGAGCCTAATCTAGCGAGAGGTGATCGAGGAGTAGAAGCATTTTACAGCTTTTGTGCAGGGAATGCGTCGTGGTGCCAATTAAGCTAGCATGCATATGCAATGCAGCAGCACGAGTAAAAACAAGTTACTCCTACTTTTGCAGGGCTACTAGTACTGTACGATAATCTGGATCTGGTTGCCGTGCATTTCTTCGGAAGAAACATCCAAGCAAAGTGCAGTACGAGCGCGCATCATGGCACTCGGAGATTGCGACCTGTGCAAGTGTGCATTGCAGATCGATATCAGATAGCCGTAACTAGGGGAAGAAAACGGGTGGAAACGGTATCATTATTTTATTATTTTTACAAAAACGATCGGAAAGGTCAGAAAATTTTTATATTTATAAAAAACTGAATTTTTAAAACAGTCGATAAAAATATTATTATTATATATACTATTAGTTTGCGGAAACGGTGTGTCAGTATGGTCGGAAATTTTCATATAGTTTTCACCCATGTTCGTAACGTCACGTTGGATCACCAAACATTCAATGGTCATCTACTCATTTATTAGATGCAAACTGAATGGTTATCAAGTAATTAAAGAAAATAAAGGTCAATAAGTCATAAAAAAACAAAATTGACTATGGATATATGTATAGTAATTAGAGTTTAATTTGTTATGTTATATAACTTATAAAAATCGAATTCATGAAATGATATAGTATTACATATTAATATAATATCTTATCAATTTTTTTAAAAATATATATAACTATTTAGGTTACATATAATAAACGGGTGTACATCTATTCAGGTGATAAAAAAAAATATTTCCTCAGTGACACTTAGCTTTTCAAGCTTTAACCTCTATCGATATGTGCATGCATGTATCATACATACATTATGCATATCATATTGATAATCATGCATGCCATGCGTGCCGCATCGATGCGTTTATATTGATGTCGATGACGATGCGTGTCAATTTGTTGAGACATGCATGGATATGTAGCTAGGTTGCATGCATGCATACACTCCAATATATATAGATCGATGTACATATATATCCATGGGAGGTGTGTACAGATCGATGGATGAAGGGTAATGCGACCAAATGGTCACACCAATCGATGCATGTGACCGTGCTTCCTTGTGTTCTTGCTGCAACAGTGCATGCCTGCCATGCTTGTTTGGTGTGTGTGACCACACTACTAGTCTATACGACAACGAGAGAAAAAAAAAAGAGCAAGAGAGATCTCTAGAGAGAGTTTTACTCCTACGTCTAGTGAGAGAGATTTATGTATACAGAAATCGAGTAAATTTCATAAAACTGCATATATTTTGTACATTCTATCACAAAACTATATATTTAAGAATATATTTCACAAAACTACAGATTTAGTGTCTACGTTTATCACAAAACTACAGGTACTTTGCACAATACATCACAAAACTACAGATTTAAGAACTTGTTTCACAAAACTACAGATTTAATATCTTCATTTATCACAAAACTACAAGTTTAGTGTCTTCATTATCACAAAAATACATGTTTTAGCATTGTTAAAACCTGTAGTTTTGTGATAATGAAGACACTAAACATGTAGTTTTTTGATAAAAGAAGACACTAAATGTGTAGTTATGGGATAAACGAATACACTAAATCTATAGTTTTATAAAACAAGTTCTTAAATATATAGTTTTGTGATAGATTATACAAAGTACCTATAGTTTTGTGATAAAAATAGACACTAAATATGTAGTTTTATGAAACAAGCTCTTAAATCTGTAGTTTTGTGATAAATTATGCAAAATACCTATAATTTTGTGAAATTTACTCATAGAAATTTGACCTACAAGTCATTTCTGATTATTTTTAGTTGTTTATCTACCGCTTATCACCTTAGCTTAGCAGAATCTTAATTAATTAGCCATCCATCCGGTGATATACTGATACACTAAACCATTAATTAAGAGACTTGATTAAATCAAGCAAATTAAGTTGAAAGTGCTGGATATATCTACAGATGATGATTATGTTTCAAGAGAGGTGTGCTGGACATAAATATCTACAGAATCCAATTGAATTTGGAGTAGTGCTGTGTTTAGTTACTTCAAACTTTGAACTTTTCTATCACATTAAATGTTTAAACACATGCATGAAGCATTAAATATGAACGAAAAAAACCAATTGCACAATTTGCATGTAAATTGCTAGACGAATCTTTTAAGCCTAATTACGCCATGATTTGACAATGTGGTGCTACAGTAAACATTTGCTAATGACGGATTAATTAAGCTTAATAGATTCGTCTCGCAGTTTACAGGCGGAATTTTTAATTTGTTTTGTCATTAGTCTACGTTTAATACTTCAAATATGTGTCCGTACACGTAAAAAAAAATTCCGAAACAAATAAACACGGCCCTAGGCCGGTTCTGAAAATTTAACCTCTGAACAAGACTGAATACACGGACTTGAGGTGTGTTTAGGCTGTGTTTAGATGGTGAAAAAGTTAGGAAGTTGAAAGAAAGTTGGTAGTTTAGAGAAAAAGTTGGTAGTTTATGTGTGTAGGAAAGTTTTCGATGTGATATGATGTGATGGAAAGCTGGGAATTTGGGGGAACTAAACACTGCCTTAGTTCACGCCAAAATTGGAAGTTTGGTTGAAATTGGAACGATGCGATGGAAAAGTTAAAAGTTTGTGTGTGTAGGAAAGTTTTAATGTGATGGAAAAGTTGAAAGTTTGAAGAAAAACTTTGGATCTAAACTCGGCCTTGCTGTTGATTTTGTCAAGGTGTATTTAGTTTTTTTGGGTGTAAAGTTTTTGAAGCACAGGGACACGCATTTGAAGTATTAAGCGTAGACTAATAACAAAACAAATTACAAATTTCTCTTGTAAACTGTGAGACGAATTTATTAAGCCAAATTAATTCGTCATTAGTAAATGTTTACTGTAGCATCACACTATCAAATCATAGCGTAATTAGGCTCAAAAGATTTGTCTCGCAATTTACATGCAAACTGTGTAATTGATTTTTTTCACATTTAATATTCTATGTATATGTCCAAATATTTGATGGGACGTTTTTGGCTAAATTTTTTTTATCTAAGGCCTCAGGTCCAAAATTCACAGGACATGGCAGTGCTGGACACGTATCCATTTCTGACCAAAACACCAATACAGTGTTTCCTCTTTCTTTCCCTGCACCTGCTGCAGCCATGCAGTTAGATCCGTTCATACGGTACATCTGCAGTTCAGCTCTAGACTGCAGTTCAAAGTGTTAGGATATATGTGTATATAGGTACTACTATATACAAATACGTATATATATGTTCTTGGATCTGTATTCTGTACACATCATCTGGGTTTGGGGAATTGCAAACTGTTTATTTTGTCCTGCAGCCCGTACAATACACTGTAGCTATACTGTACTCTCAAATAATTTACACTGATGAAAGGTTGAGCTCATCGACAAAGTGCAGCCCAAACCTGTGGGCAATATACTTCCTGTATTCTCAAATAATTTGCACTGTTACTATTCAAGCTTAAATTATAAAGGTACGTGGTGCCATAAATATAAAGGTACAACGACTATCATTCATCATAAAGTAATTATTTAGAAGTAATTTGTGATCAACGTGAGATGGTTGTAGTCAACACTAATATAACAATCTTCGTATGATTAGACTCTTTCCGGACAATGAATCTGGACATGAAATCAATTTAGGACGGATACATCTAATTTTTCCTATTATTATATTTAGGACGGAGGTAGTAATATATATACTCATTCAGATTAAAAACCCTCGGTAATAACCGTTTGGGACATACTGGAGATTTTATAGGAAGTTCATAGTACATTTTAAAGGGAGTCCAGACATAAGAGGTGGTAAGTTTGGCCGGCATTTGCATGGAACTGTAGTACCAACTGATGCACAAAGTGTTGCTGTCGAACTCAAAACACCAAACGAACAAAAACGTACAGCAAATTACATCAATCAGTGTGAAACGTTTTCACAAGGGTCCAAACCAAAGGGAAATATGCACATATCCCCCTGGGCTAGCAGGAAAAGGGCAAAGTACTGTCACCATCAGCTAAAACCCATGAGCTGCCCATCTTATCTCCTCTCCCAATTCTGTCACTCTGTACTATTCTCTCTCTAGATTTGTCTGACTATCTTTCTCTCTCTCTCATCAGATGGATGGATGGTGAGAAATTGAGACACTTGGCCTGCTAATCCATCTACCATTTGCTATGGATAATGCAATGTATGAGTGCTAAATGTATGTGCACAAGAGGCACACGGATCATGGCCGCTAAAAAGTAGAGGGAGGATGAACCGTGCAGGTGTGACCGGCCAGCAGATCACTCTTATCATTACCAGATTGCAGGGGATTGCTGCTTATCCAATTAGCAGTACGAGTCCATCGTTTTGCTTATAGTTGACTATAATCTGTAACACTTATTAGCGATTAAAAAAATTTAGGTATTTTTTAGCTAATTAAAAAGTAAACTATGATAAAAAAATAAAATTAACTCTAAAATTATTTAAAATTTAATCTCTCTCTGTGCTTGTATGCTTGCTAACCAGATTGCTGCTAATCACTCACCTGAAAAGGATTAGGATCTTTTCGCTGTACAAATATCTGTTTTGTTGCCCTGTCTCGTTCCCAGAATACATGTGACTTGAAAGGCCATTTCTGTGAATGTATGGCAATTACTTTACCCTTTAAATGAACTATTCTAAGAAATGATTGTATGCCCTTATGGGTTTCAGTTCCAGGTGCATGTAAATTGAAGCGAAAACATTGTTACCCGTGTTATGTAAAATTATTGGAGAAATCGGTAGCAGTAAAAGGGAAAAAAAAGTCAAAATCACGGTAGTGTTTAGTACTATGGAATGAATGATACTCCCTCCGTCCACAAATACAAGGCATATTCACATTCAAACTTAAGTGTGTATTGGTTCCTCTATACCCTTAACGAATGCTATCTAATTAGGTAGAGGTCAATTAGAGTAGTTTAGTATATCATGCATGCACAAATAAAAATATTCGCTACATTTGTGGACAGAGAGCGAGAATTACGCATGCATTTGGTAATTGTCCATGACCTATTACTCGCTGAACAAAGTTCCAGCTGAAAGATTACAGTTAAACTAACTCTTTGCAAATCCTCACGAACCTAATCCGAATTATCTGTCCCTCCCTATATAGAATGGTACCAGTTCACCGGTATATAAGTTCAAAGATAAACGGGGCAAGCTACACTCCAGCCCCTCCTGTACTATTTTCTGATGTATAAAATCCTATGAGCAAATGGTCAACTGAAGCAAAGCATTGGGACCCAGATGCAAGGTTAAGATGCTTTATCCTTGAGCTCAGCAGCTGGTACAAGCACAACTTCGTTTTGCAAGCCACTCTCAGCAGCCACATTGTTGTCAGTTGACGATGACGATGATAGCATGTTCTCCTTCAACCGCTGCAGCCGATTCTCGAGACCGCACACCTTCTCGATCACATCGAAGAAATGTTCATCATCGCTCACGTCCAAGAAATGCAGAGCGTCAGAGGCCCAAGTGTCCACCCAAGAAACAGCAGTCTCCTCAGTGCCGATGTTGTTATTCATCAGTTGACTAGAATCTGTGATGGAAGGCTTGATCGTAGGCGGTGTACCCTCCTGCAAACAAGACAAGTTAAGCAGACAAGTTAAGACCACACAATTAACTGGGTGGATTCAAAAGGAGTAAACTATTTCAGGTGGAAGCCCTTATCAGCGCTTGCTGTTTATACCTTGGTTTTATCAGTTGGCGACAAGCAAGTTTCATTGTCCTGAGGTCTTGGAGGGCTGTTAATTGATTTTGGCTTCTTATCAAGACCTTTCTGCAGACGTGTGGGCACGTTGATTATTTCAGATAAGGGAAGAAAGCATGAGTTGTCCATTTGATCCACTTTAGCTGAAGTTTCAGCCTTTTCTATGCTTGTTCTTGACCTTTTGCTGGGACCAGAATAACGACTTTCACCCTGAAAGACAATGCCAACGGTTAACTTACGAAAACCCTGGGCACTATGTGAGATGTTGCCAGGAACTTAAAAATAACAGATTGTAAAGTTGCCATAGTGAAGGAATGTAATGCATGAAAGACAAAATTTCAGTCGATGAATATCATGCATCAAACTCAGAGTAACTATCATACATAATGAATCTACTAATACATTTTTAGGACTTCAATTTTTTACAGGCAACATATTCAAATGTTTGCATGGGCACATGGAATGTATAGATAAACCCAGAGGGAACATTTGGGGGCATGCGGATGCAAGAAAACAAATATTCAGATTATATGAATAAATGTGAGATAAGAAATGCATGCCTTCCTATCCCTGAGAGCAGCACACCGTGTATTTTTGAACCACTTATCAATCTGCAAAGAGATCAGACATTTGTCATTGGTCAATGAGTTCATTGATTCCGCAAAGACAAACTTGGTAATACTTCTATACTTCAAAGATGAACCCATCACATTAGAAGGAAAAGGTGATCAACTACAAAATATACATCTGAACTTAAAAGTCATACACATTGTTTGCTGTATTTTGAAAATTGAACTTCGGAGTATGATCTGGTGAGTGCTGCCAAAAATTGACTAGCAAAACAAAATATCCAGGTGAATTAACATATGTAAGAAATAAATTATTCAACACAACACAACAAACCTTTTCAAAAGAAATACCCAGCTCTGTTGAGAGATTTTCTTTGACACTCCGGGCAGGAAGCTCATTTTCAGCAAAAGCTTTACGGAGCACCTAATTTAACAGAGAATAATACGAGGCATTAAGCAAGTGTCCTGAAAAAAACACACGGTCACAGCTACAGGCACAGTAGATCAGTGAATTTCACCATCAATTGACTTTCTGTTTTGTGTTACAGCAAATACGCGATCATAGAATTAAGATGTAATGCTGATAATATGTTTTTTGAGATAATAAACATTCCAAGTTACCTCAACTGCCGCAGGAGGAATCCTGAAAAGTTTTCTCCGAGGTTGGGCTTTCTTATTGGATTTGACATCTGATCGACCCTCTACGGAATTAGTCCCAACACCAGTTGAACCAGTTCTTCTTTTCTTTCTCTTGTTAAGACCCCAATCTTCATCTTCACTCTGTTCGTCATTGCCAATAGGCTCTCCAAACATTTGCTGTGAATGGAGAGAAGTGGTCATAATAGCGTTGATCCATCTTAGTGATGAAAAGGAACTTACTAATACAGTATTCACAGTTAATAACAGACACATCTATTTAAACTCCGCTATTCATAGAATACAATTTCCTGTTGATAAAGCACACCTCATTAAGTTGTGTATAGTCAACATCTCTTCTTGGCCTTTGGTGGGTAAGAATCTCAGCCAAACCATCTTCACCAAAATCGATTCCTAGATTTGAACTTTCACGACAGAATCCTTCAGCATCATTGAAATCTGCTGATATGAAGTCTGGAATATCATCATTTGGAGAATAAAGTGGACTCCCTGAACAATTGGAATCGGCAGATTTATTCTCTTCACCACTGCTGCTGGCCTCATTTTCTTCAGGGTCATAGTCCTCATCACCTGAATACTCAGATAGCCAATCTTGGCCCAGTCCATCATCAGAGTTGAAATGTTCAGCTGCTTCCTTGAAAATATCCTATAGAAAGCAAGCAGAATCAAGGCTTATTCAACACAATTAAACCACTTGAGTAAAAGGTGATCAAAACATGAACGTAAAGAACTAAAAGGTGATCAAAACTTGAACGTAAAGAACAAAAAAACTTACACTGGAGGGACACTTCACTGTAAAACTTGTCCCCAGATGGGCATTAATGGCGTCTAAAATTTTCATCTTGGAAGAACAGTGTTTGCAAAGCCGCCCATGGCGGGTAGTTGGAAGAACTGAGAGATACCACAAAACAAAGTTAGATACATCACAAACTGTAAAGTAGCCATTGCAGCAACATATCAGGTGGAGCAACTGCAGCAGGTGACATGGATGCATAATCATCAGAATAGAAGGTACACTATGATGTTTGGTACAGCACACCACATTACATTATTCTGAAGCAATAACTTAAAACATACATTATTTTATAGGAACTCATGCCATACTTTCATTTCTTTAAAAAGGCATATAAATGTTTATTCATGCTAAAGAATCATCACATGCTAAAAAGTAGAAGACAAGTTATGCATGGAGTGACAGCAGAGTCTAGACTCTACACACTAGAGATGTCCTACATTTATTTTGAAGTGTTGGACCACAACATAACATAGTAGAGTGCTAAGTTCAGTTTATTTTTGAGGAAATTGGAAAGTTCAGATTATGGTTGAGTTCGTACACTGCACTGGTCACTACATAAAGTAGAAATATATATTAAAAAATTGACACTAAACAAAACTACATTCATTTACCAAAAAGGTGGAACCTCATATTTTGAAAGAAGTTAAGAGAAATGATTACCCACTTTTATCAAAAGGAGGCTCCAAACATTTCTGATGACACGCCAGTTTGCAGCCCCCCTCACAGAATATAATGTTATTGTCAGGAAATGACTCGTGGGATTTGCACCTTGAACATATTGTCTAGAAAAGAGAACATTGTATCAATATATAATCCTATGGAAGTAGGGAGTTTGATATTCACTTGATGACATACATACATGTTCAGGATTGACAGACTCGTGACACCCATCTGGTGGAATCACAGAGTCATCCTTGCTCCCACTGGAACTACACAAATCAAGTTGGTGAATGACGTCACGGATAGCGATTTTGTATTTCATGATCTGTTTCTTAGCACGCTGTAGCTCCTTCTCTGGCTTTATTTTCTCTCGACTGTTAGGAAAGGCACACCCTTTAGTAAGTATAGTATAAATAGCATACTGTTACTTCATTCTATGCAACATCAGGATATATATATATATATATATAGAGAGAGAGAATTAGATATAAAACAACACAAGTGAAGCTTACTGAGAGCATCAGTATAGACCGTTATAGAACAGTTCTTTGATAGCTAATTGACAACTGACAGTAACAAATTAACAATTAGAAGGCAAACTAGATGTGTATATCATGATTGAGAGGTCCTCCACAGTAAAGCACTTCTATCCCAAGACACTACTTCAACTACGCAAGTCAAAATGATTACTTCCAACAGATACATATACCAGTATTATTTCTGACCCATGAGGAGTTGGTCACAGCCAATGAGCTAGGGATGGATTCTGATCCTCCTATTATTAAGATGCTATTGGTGGTTAAAACATAAGTTCTCATCTGGTTTGCATACAGTAAATGTGAATGATTTTCTCTTCATGAGTAGTTCTAAACCTCATTCTAAGCCCTTGCTCATTATTGCCCTAAACAAAATGGAACTTTGTTACTGAGAAGGTTTAATCTGGTTTGCTTTTGAGTTTTCCGTCAAAAACTACAATCATGCAAGCATGAATTAAATAATTTCAGGTTTCTTTTTCCCCTTTTGGCATGTAAGATTAGTTGGATTTGAATATTTCTATAGTCAAAACTCAGAAGCTTACAACAGTAAGAGAGAAGCAGTGCATACCTGTGCCCATTCCAACCATCTCCAGAGTATGCATCTAGCAAATTCTGCTCCTGTTTTATTTTGATAAGTAAATATCTTGCTCTTTTTTCCATGCGACTGACCTCATCACTCTCATCATTTTTCCTTTTCTGTTTATGCTTCCTCCTTGTTGGCCCTGTTGCAGACTTTCCGGTAGCCGCATCTGAACCCCGCCGCCGCTTCAGAGGACTGCTATGGTGTTTGTTCTCTATACATTTCGCCAGGTTAGCGCTACTTCTTGTTGTTCGTTTGGGAGGAGAATCCGGCTTGCGTGGAGTATTCTGGCGGGTTGCTCTTTTTGATACAGAGATCAATTCCGAAGAGGATTCTGTCCTCTGTTGCAGTGCTCTTCTAGAAGTATAGCACAGTGGTTTCTTTTCTGGGGTATTCATTGCTGGTGATGGATAGTATTACAACAGGTTGAGACCTACCATAAAGAACACATTACAGTATTAATCTGAGAGCTGAATGGACATGATGATAACAAGTACAGTAAGCAGCATTACATAGTACGTAGCAGACAAGAAAATGTACTAGCCGCTGCATGTAAAAAAAGACAGATGCTTGTAATCTAAACAAAGTAGTAGTACATCTATTGGCTGCCTGCCCTAACCAGCAGGGCAAATACCGAAAAGCATAGAACAAATAATGAGAAATTCTAGATCTCTAACCAGAGCAGCAAATTCCAGCACACACATTACACACCCGAAGATCTCACCGAGCACAGACCTAGCGCGGAGCATTGGGGCTCAGTTGAAACCCCCTCTCCCAAAAATGTCGCGGAAATGAACTGCGCACCCCAACCTTGGATGCTAAATCCTACACGAAGGATTCAACCACTAACTAGCACACTAAACAGCAAATGAATCCCTCACTAAACCAACCGAATCGAGAGGAAGACGCAGCAATCTTCGGTCTCCCACTACCCAAGCCACAGCGGAGTTAAAACAAACGAACGAACACACGATCCACCCCCATCCAAGCAACCGACCGAAGCTAGGGTTTGCCGCTTACCGAGCAGGAGGAGGAAACGGAACCCCGGGCCCGGGCGGATCTCCCGCCTCCCCCAACGGCAGCCCAGCACCAGCACCAGCAGAGTGCGGGGGAGGGGAGGGGACGCACCGCGCCGCCTCTCGCCGCCGCCGCGGGGAAGGGTAGGAGGAGAGGGGGAGAGGAGGCGGCGGCGAATTTGGGGGGGAGAAGAGGAGAGGAGAGGAGAGGAGAGAAGGGAAGGGAAGCGAAGGGGAGGGGAGTTGAGTTGGGGGAAACCTTGGAATTCCCTTGTGTTGCGGCTGCATTTACACAGTGGTCGACTACTAGGGAGGAGGACTGACTTGCTTCGCTGCTGCAGTGGGAAAGCCCGACCGAGGCCAGGAAACGCGGACGCCGCTCTTCTTTTTTTTTTGTTTTTTTTTTCACTCTCTCTCGTCTCTCCCTCTCTATATTTCTGAAGGGTATTTATTTATAATTTGATTTTACTTTCCAAAACAGTACTCCCTCTATCCTTAAATATAATGGATGGACAGCTTCCTGTCCAGATTCGTTGGACTAGAATATGTTACATCCAAGCAAAATACCTTATATTTAGAGACAGAGGGAGTATATCGTCTATGAAGGGACCATTTCTTTCATTATTATTCAGAAATATATGTAGGGGGTTCGTAAGATGTGCACACTCACCTCTACGAAGACTAGGCTGATATATTTTGAGATTGATGAAGTCACCACGGGTACTTCGTTGTTCACAGATATGTTGTTTATCGCCGAAAGAATAATTAGTCGTAAATGCGAGCAAAATGCTAAGTTTTGAACTAATCCGGATGAGTAGGTTTCAGCGCAAGAAATCAATTAGACCCACTTTACTATTTTATTTTATTTTGCCAACCGTGTTTATGTTGACTATACCTGAATACCGTTGTTAATGAGCTAAATGGATATTTGGTGTTCAAAAATGCCAATATATAATTTAAATTTATTCAATTATTCCAAAAATAATTTACAAAGTGACTATTTTAATTTTTTTCCCTGCAACGTCTATTTTACTTTTAAAAATGGGATTTTTTAAGTGAAGCCCGATCCAGGAAAAGCGGACGCCGCTTTTTTTTTCCCTCTTTATCCCTATTTCCAAAATAAAAAATGTCGATTTATAAAAATATTATGGAGTGACCAATTGACCATCTTCCATTTTTGTTTTTTATGTTGACTACCCCGATCTACTTCTGGGTCTCCAGCAATCATGTTTGAGAGTCTGAGACAAAACAATGAGCCTTAACCGTAAGGCTGTGTTTAGATCCAAATGCTGTGTTTAGATCCAAAGTTTGGATCCAAACTTCAGTCCTTTTCTATCACATCAACCTGTCATACACATACAACTTTTCAATCACATCATCTCCAATTTCAACCAAAATCCAAACTTTGCGCTGAACTAAACACAGCCAAAGTTTGGATCCAAACTTCAGTCCTTTTCCATCACATCAACGTGTCATACATACACAACTTTTCAGTCGCATCATCTCCAACTTCAACCAAAATCCAAACTTTGCGCTAAACTAAACACAGCCTAAGATTGGATGCAACTTCTTGCCAAAACAGAACAGCAAAATGTATAATACTAGTACGGAGTAACAACAGTGGTCAGAATGTTCTTGCTGCCAGTGAGCTTCAATTTGCACATGTGAAATAGCTCGAATCACTTTAAAGATGAATGGCAAGTGTTTGATATCCAGACTTTTTCAAATTTGGCTATTTGATAGTTATACAACATACAAATGAGGATAGACAGAGAGTTCATAGACATAAAAATGGATTTTGCAATCATGTGTATCCCTTCTAATTTCATTCTACGCCTAAAAGAAGTACATTATGCTACACTGATAACCCAGATCATACAACATTTGGAATTTCTCAAGTCTGATCCATTTGGAGTTGGATTCTCTAGTCTTTACTGGTAGCGTCCCGGTTTCGCAACAGGTCTATTTCTTCGCCTTCTTTGTTCTCTTCGTAGTTTGGGTTTTCCTTGTACCCTTCTTAGTGGCCTTTCCTGCAACCTTCGCCTTCTTCTGTCCCTTCCCCTACATTTCACAAGAATAAGCAAACTTTGTCATGAGGAACTATAATATGTCGCAAAGTTTATAGCATGGTTCCTTAATTTCATGATACAAAACAGGCAAAGTGCTTCAGTACATAAGTAAAACCTCCGGAAAAGCTATCCACAATTGGGTTTCAAACTTATATAGGGTAATGTAATGCGCTTTCAGGAGTTCAAGAATCAGGTATTCATACAGTTTGTACTAACATGTGCCATCATCAGTTTTAAATTCTGAGATGGCATAATGGTAATAGAAAAGAAACTGAAAAGAAGCTTATAGGATCATTAAAAGGGTAGGAGAGAACATACTGCCGGTTTCTCAGCTTTTCTTTTGGTTTTTGCCTTAGGTTGATCCCCATCTTCATTATTTTGATCGTTTTGAGAAGCATGCGGTTCAGGAAGCTTGTCACCCTCCTCGTCAGAATCAAATGTGAATCCATCAAGGGTACCTATAAAGATAACATGCCTGGAGTATTAGAAAATAACCATTGCAGCAGATGTTATCATCATATCAAATGATAGGGTCATTAGTCATCACTTCATGCAGAATGACTGTTCCTGACTACACTGTCAAATGACAATGCATTGCTTAATAGCTCCATTAAAGAAAGATAAGATGTGCTGCTTTTATTGGCGCGCAGTTTGCTGCTCAGCTTTATAGGTCAGAAACAGTAGGATATATGGGCTGAAGATTTCTAATTAGACCATCTAGAAGAATGCTAACCTTCCATCATAGTCTCTGCTTCAAATAAATTGGATTGGGGTTCCAATTGAATAAAGTCATCCATGATAGACTCTATCTGCAAAAGGGGAAAAATGGTTGAATAAGGTAAGCAGCTACATCCATCAGAATAATATATTTTAATCGGATTTAGTAGCAAAAATAGCACGCTACATACTAGAAAGTAGAACTGCCTAAACTAAAAATTATGGAGAAGTCAAATACTCATAAGAGATTTATGTTATCATCGACAACCTTCGCTTCTGTTTGTCCTACACTGACCTGAGAAAAAGAGACAGTCCATCAAGGATTTAAGATCAATACTAACAAATAAGGCAAATGCACAACTGTACTTTAAGTTTGAATGTAACTTACAACGCAAAATGTCCTGGATGGAACAATTGTTGATTTGTATATTGTTCCTGTGTAAGTATATAAGTAAAAATAATAATAATATGGGTAAAGTATTTTGAATAGTGCATGTAGTAAGATAACACGGACATTAATTTCAAATCCCTTGTTGGTAAAAATACCCTGCCTAGTCAGAAACCAAAGTGCATAATACATAAATGATACTAAAGAAATCGACTTGCTGGTACCTTTTAGGTCCAATAACAATTCCTGATTTCCGTTAGGACTGTTTGAAATTATTATCCTCCCAACAGCTCCAACGTCTCCACTTAAGTCTATCGAGTCACCATCGCATTCAATCAATGCCTAGAAATAAACAGAACAAGGATTATAGGATTATAATTTATAAACTTAGGGAAACTATCATTGATTGGGTCAGTCATGATTCCCAGTCTTCCAGGTAGATGATACTTGCAGAGGTCAAGATGTTGATTTTACTGCATTTTAGCACATATAACACATTTTGGTGGATTATCAAGGATCTATGGCTCTTTAATATATATAGCCTATACTCCTTCTAACTCCTGGTGCACTAAAAAGGGCCCCAACCATTTCTCATTTATGGCTCTGTCACTGCGGTATTTCTATTAATTGTACAATTTCTTTCCACCAATGTTAAGTTGACCGATATTTTTCCATGAAGAAAATATGGGAAAGGGGGGGGGTGATAGCAGAGTTGCTCATTGCATTCCGGACTTATGATTTGACACACTGACCCTTTTATGAGAACAATGGTTTCTAATTGATAATGCCAGTTAGAATTATCATACCTTTGAACGCTGAATTTTATCAGGAATGATTAATGGCAACCTCTGGGAGACCTGGAACGCATAAGAGCTTACAGTCCATAAGATATCTCAGACATATTGACGTAACTAGTTAAAGGAATAACAAGACACGCCATCATGCTCTACAAAAATTACGGTAATCAAGGAAAGAACTAATCGGTTGGAGCTTGATAAATATTTACAAAATGATGTTTATTTTCATATTTTCCTATACCTTCTTAAAAGGATTTACCCAACTTTCATTAGTTCAATATAATGCAATAACAAAAATGACACATGTTGGGATATTCCCAGTAAGATGTGGGCTCTAATTTTGTTTTCTTTGCTCCTTGTTTGGGTCAATGCTCTCAATGTTCTGGAACCGTAGTGTGGAGGAAAAAATAGATTAAAAATAGAAGGAAGTTGAGGCATCTTACAGAGTGCTCTGTAAGTTTATCCTGCATTTCTTCTTCAGCAACTCCCTCTTCTTGATGTTCCAAGGTATCTATGCATGACCATGACTATAATTATCAATCATTGAAACTAAGAATTCATAAACTGACTTTTCACTAAAAGGCAACCAAAGCTTTTCATTAGTCTTACCATCTATTTGATCTGGACCAGCTTTTGGTCCAGTAACCTTTGAAGCATTAGAACCAGATGGGGGTTTAACCAACTTCTTCTTTGGAGTCTGTACAAAAAATTTAGGCATAGAATTAACAAAAGAGTGGACCTGGTGTTTGCAACTAAGTAATATGTACAATGAAGTCAGTATTAAATATAACAGTAGCATTATGTGACGATCAATAACAAATAATGTAGAACAGTTGTAAGATAAGATTCAAGAAGTATTGTTGACATCAGGAATAAAGCATCTTGAGAAAAAAAGGGAATCTGCTGAACCTCATTCGAACTTGGATAGCTCGTAATCTATCTATAGATCTTTTAAATTGTTCTTTTTACATGGGCATATCACATATCAGCAGCATAACTAATTAGAAACCAGATGGCGAGGTACCACGAACAGGGATTAAACAATTAAGAACAAAATAAGAATTATAGTAGTTACCGAGCGTTTTGGAGGCTTATCTTGATTTGATTCCATGGTTGGTTTCTCATCTTTGTCGAAAGCATCTATAGGCAACCATGAAGAGAAAATAGATCAGAAAGTGAATAAAAAGGAGATACTAGTTTGGAAGTTTGTCATAACAAAATAATAAATATTACTATCTCCGTCCCAAAATATGAGTTTTAGGGTTGAATACAGGCATTAAGAAAGATGGTGGAATTAAATAGAGGAATGTTGTGATTGATTGAGAAGAGGAGGTGGGAAGGGATTTGAATGGTGGAAAGTTGAGATTGGCTAAGAAGAGAATGTATGTGGAGAAGAAGTTATATTTTAGGGCAAATTATGAAGGCTAGATGTTGTTATATTTTGGGATGGAGGGAGTAGTAAACTAATGATACCTTCTTGACTAGTAGGGGTTTTCCTCCTAGTAGGTGTTGCCTTTTTGCCCTTATTTAGTGCAGCAGCATCTCCATCCCCTGCATGGTCTGAACTAGCCTTGTTTTCCCCCTTTTGTTCTTCTCCAGATGGTGTAGTCCGTGTAGGACTGTTTTCAGGAGAATCATCGGAGCCCGAAGAAAGCATCACCGTCGATGTAGTTGGTGGCTACGAAAAATTATGCAAAATAAAATTGGTGATATTATCACCAATAACAAGTCACAATCTTGGAAAGCCAGAGAAGTTGTACCAAGAACAGAAAGTGTAACAAGTACTAGATACAGAACATGCTTGCTGCCTCACATCGGAGCCTATCGGACATCGGAACCAAAATCAAGACATGTGTTCGTTGTGTTTAAACTAGGAATCGGCGATACCATAGCGGGACCGTTTAGCAAAACCATTGGCATAGACCAAGTAAACAAGTTGTTAAACACATGTACAAACAACGTTTTCTGAATACCGAAAATTCGCATCGAGTTGTGCGAAGGATTATCAAAGAGCACGAAATTCTCACGAACATCACAAAGCATATTTAACACATAGCCTAGAAGCACAACACGGAATGCCATTTTGTGAAATGACATAGATCAAACTTATTAGCGCGCCCACTAATTCAGTTCAATTCTCAACTTAAATCCACAGAGAAAAATGGGTAAATCGAAACCGCTCGGCAGGATGGACCTTATTCCCACGGAGACCTGGCAGGATTTAGCTAGGGCACATCACACGGCCACGGGAGGCGGAGGAGAAGAGATGGTTACCTGGAACGCGCGGAGCCAGTCGGGGTCTTCTTCTTCCTCGCCCATGCCTGCGCCTCCCTCCCTCAAAACTCCTCCAGAGCCGACTATGGAAGGCAGCCCACTACGCGGACCAGCCGAGCGAGCGAGCGCGCCGGCGGCGAGGCGAGGCGGCGGCGGCGGAGCCCGGGTCGTCGACCTGCGCAGCTGCGCTCGAGGAGAAAGAGAGGTCACGTGCGTCAGAGCTGTTGCTACGAGGCCCCGTTCCAGCCGGGCCGGCCCACGAGTGTGGTGGGCCAAACACGCGATGCTGGATTAGGATACGGCCCACGAGTAAGTAATCTATGAGTATACCTTTCCTAATCGTTCACGCCCTTGTACGGGTGGAAACCTAGCCAAGATCCCCATCGTCGCCGCCGCCGCCGTCGCCGTCGCCATCGCCGCCGGCGGCCGCCATTGGCAGCAGGGAAGAGGATGATCCGGCGATTCTTGTACATTGCTGACCACTGCTTTACAGGCCCCTCCCTCTCCCACAGGCTACGGCGAGTCAACCCATCACATCTCTTCTACCCCGATGGCCATCCACTAGCAACGAAACCGGAGCGAGCGACGGTGGAGGTGGAGGACGCTCGCCTGCCTCCACCCGCCATGGCCTTCTGCTCCCCGGGCACCACGGCGACGGCCATGGGCATGGAGTTCATGCGCAGGAACGACGGCAGCATCGTCGGCATCGACCACACCGGCCGCGCCGTCCTCTACGACCCCGCCGCGCGCGCCGTCCGCACGCTGCCCGCCCTCGCGGCGCCCAAGCTCATGCCCGTCTCGGCCGCCGTCGGCGACGACCTGTACGTCATGGAGACGACGCCCCTCCCCGACGGCGCCGGCTGCTTCGAGGCGCTCGTACGCCTCGAGGATAATCCCGCCGAGTCCGACTCCGACAAGTGGGAGGTAGGGGACAACTACCTCTGGCAACCCCTGCCGCCGCCGCCGCCGCCGCCGTCCCCGTGCGTGAACGCCTACGCCGCCGGCTTCGAAGGCTCCTCCCGCGGCATGATCTGCGGGTACGCGGTGGCCGGCGACGGCGACGGCGGCACGCGCATCCTGGTATCCACCACGACCAACGGCACCTACTCCTTCGACACCGCGAGCTCCGCGTGGAGCAAGGCCGGCGACTGGGAGCTGCCCTTCCGCGGCCGCGCCGAGCACGTCCCCGAGCACGGCCTCTGGTTCGGCATCTCCGACATGGATGGCACCATTCTCGGAGCGTGGAATCTGTCCTCCGCGTTCCAGCAGCCGCAGCCGCCGGTGGCGAGCCTCCAGGTGAAGGGGTTCTCGGTGGAGAGCCACAGCGACGACCGGAGGAGGAGGGAGTTGGAGGTGTACGCATCGCAGGTCGTCCACCTGGGCGGCGGCAAGCTGTGCGTCGCCAAGATGTTCAGTGTTGATCGCAGAGAAAGGGGTGAAATAAATTTCGCCATGCTCACCGGCGTGGAGGTGGTACGCGGCCGTGGCGGGAAGCTCCGCGTCGTCAAGCACAAGTCGCGCCGTTATAACTTCGGCCAAGACTACACCCCTGTTTATCTACTCTAACGAGTAGAGTACTCCTACTTAGTACTGTCCTAATAAAAACCCTTATTTGATTAATCCTGCTCTTATGCAGGATACATATTCATCGGTTAGTTTTAAAACTCTGCATTGCATAGCTCTGTAAACTCTGTTAGTAGAGATGAATGATTTCAAGGAAGCAATTCTATTGTTAAGGACCTGAAAAAAAAACATTTATAACCTGAAATACTTATCATCTGATCAGATAGCAGTCTAAGTGCCAAAAACTAATACTAGTGACAACAAATGGCAGCTGCCATAACAGATAAGCCTGAAAGCAATATGTCAGCTTCCTTGATGCATATGTGGCCATGCGGGTTAGCTCGTCTCTCTATAATTTTCATTCCTTTAACAGGCTGCATAAATGCATGTAGTATTGACGATGAGAAAAACACAATGCTTAAATCATCATTGGGCAAAAAAACTGTTAACATACACTCCACCCCCTTAACAAAAATCATATTGGTACTAAAATGAAAATAGTCTCTAGTGAATTATTTTTTTTTCTCTCTATTGATTATGGCACTCCAAAACATTTAGTCACTGTTGTCGATGTACTTATAACTTGAAGAAAGTCATACTGAAATTTGTCTGGCATAAATCCTTGATCAATGTAGTCTTTTCTTTAAGGACAGTTAGTCAGTGAACTTCAAGAAAGGTTATATACTAGATAACTTTGGGAAACACTATGGATCTTAGCAAGGCTCTTTGAAGGTGGGGTTTGTTTTCTTTTGCTCCATTGTAACTTACAAGTTTAGCTGTGCATCCTACTCTAATATACTTTTCAATGAGTATATCACATGCATTATTTCAATGAATGCCTCTGCATAATTCTTTCCTCATAATTCAGTTACATTGCGTTAGATCCAAGTACAACATGCCAATATTGCCTGGTACTATCTCCTGTGAGTCTATAATGATTCCTTGTCTTTTCATCTCCATCTCAAGTCCTCAGTTTATTGTTGAAGTCACAAAACATTGTTAGGAATAAGGTTAAATTTATATATATATTTTTTTGAGGAGAGGTTAAATTTTTATATTAAGTATGCATATCAATATGACGTTTCAGTTCATGTTTGAACCTATTGGTGTCAGCATGGTATTGTAATTAGATACTACATATCCTTTTCAATTGGTCATTTCGTGATGTTGGACTGTGATATGGACACCGTGTATAACTGAAACTATTGTATCTAAGGCACACAAGCAGAAAAATAAATCTACATAGTTGGAGATTGTCATTTATAAAGTTCTGATAGGCAGTGTGATGTTGTGATCATGCCAATCATTGCACATATGCTTCTTTTCGACCTTAATTTTTCTAATCTGAAGTTTCCTGATTTGTTGATTAGGTTTGGTAGGTCTCTCTAAAGAATGTGCTGATACAAGCAGTACGTGCCCTTCCATATCATTGGATGTTGTTAACTTTTACGTGTCTGACAGCTGAATTACTCAAACAATGTTCTTTCAAATTTCATTTACACATTCACGTTTCTGTCAAACAACGTAGACACTATAAGGCTCTTCTTATCCTTGTGTATTGTATCATATTTGTGTCATTGTTCAAGTAACAGCTGTCTGTAGTTACTTACTATGATGGAAAATGATTATGGGAAGTATAGTTCATCTTGCAGTCTAGTGTATACTGTTGCCAGTGCATTATCTTTGTGAATATGGATGTGAAAATGGCATGTAATTATCTACTGTCTGCCAGGCACTTCTTGTCAGCTAACTGTGCCCATGGCATGTGGACATTTGCACTCAACCAGATTTGCTCTATGCTATATTTTCAGATCAAGCGAATGACTCACCATGTTAGAACGAAGGGAGAAAAAGTCTCTAAATTTGCATTTGATGCGACAATCTTTGCCTCTTTGGTCTTGTTTTCGCCACAGGTGCAGATCATGGGAGTCAATGTTGTTTAACGATGCATGCTGCATCGACAAACCCATTATCTAGTTTTCCTAAAGCCTGACTAAGATAGAGGCACCGGGCCGGAGAGTGACCCGAAGAATAAAGGCAGGGAAAAAAACTTGAGGTTGAATTGATCCAGTAATTGTTTGGATTGATGCACAAATATGAATCTTATCAATTCTTTTGCAAGGGTAATGCAATTTGCAGGGGCGGGCCCACTATGTATTCATGGGTATTCAAATGTATACCCAAGATTTTTGGAAAAAAAATAGGTATATATACTATATAGTTCATATAGGTATTAAAAAAATAAAAAGAAAACTTAAACTGCTTATATTGGGCCTTGTTTCCCCATTTCTTCTCTATTGGGCCTAAATTTTCCACTCCCCTCCCTCTTTCCTCTCTACCTGTGGTCTAATTGGGCCACATCTCAGCCCATTTGCAATTTTCCCCCAATTCCCCACCCGCCTGGCGCCTTGGCCACCCAAACCTGCAAACCCTAGACCACAACACAGCAGTACAGCACGGCGACGGGAGGAGGCGTGCGGCGGCGTGACGTGTGGCGGCCGGCGGGGGCTGCGTGCAGCGTGCGGCGGCCGGCGGCGGGAGCCGTGGCGGCGTGTGGCGCGGTCGCGGCGTGCAACGGCGCGGGCGCGGCGCCGGCGCGGCGGCGGCGACGGCGACCGGTGAGGCGGTGAGCCGCCAAGGCCAAGGCGCCAAGCCCGTGACCGGCAGGCGCACCGTGACCGACGGGCGACGGCGTGCCGCGTGCGGCAGCCGGCGCGGCAGCCTGCAGGGGCCCAGGAGGCAGCCAGGCAGGAGGCTGCTCCAGGCCGTCAGCCGAGCAGGAGCAGGCGCTGCACAGCTGCAGCCTGCAGGTCGGCGTCCGCCGTTCCGCGCCGAGGCCCGAGGCAGCCGGCGGCTGCGCGCTGCCGCTGCGGCCGTGCGGCATCCTGCTCGCCGGCGACTGCCTGACCTGCAAATTCCGGATAAGCACATTAGCACAGTGAGTGACTAAACTCCGGACAACGGGACAAGCACAAAAATTCATTGATTTAGACATTTAGTATTTTAGTGTAGTTGCTTGCTTGCTTGATTTAGACATTTAGTTTGTAGGATTGTAGTTGACTAGTTGCCTATTTGAGTATTTGAGTAATTGAGTATATTGGACACTGGACAGTAGTTCATAGTTCATACCATATTAGCAAATTTGTAGTATTTGAATGATTGTTTGGTTACATTCATTGAAAGAGAATTCTTTTTGCAAGCTAAGGACAAGGACATCATCAATTATTTCCAAAATATCAAGCGTCGAAAAGTTAATATCTAAATTGTAAGTTTTCTTCCTAACTTATTATTCTCTATCATTTTTGTATTCCATATTTTGACACTTTGATATGTTTGGTATTAGTATTTCTATAAGTTAAACAATTTCTAGTGATGATCAATTCTATCACTGTGTGAACTAATGATCAATTTTATTCTATACGCTCTAAATTATAATTATTAGTGTATCATAATATACAAGCCTATTTTTTGGCTTTTTGGTGTATGGACATTTTTTTACCCCTTCCCATTTCGAATACCCAAGTTTAAAAAGCTGGGCCCGCCACTGGCAATTTGGCAAACACATTTGGTTTGTTGCCAACAGAAAATGAAATGGTAGTGTACATTGTTTAGTCTCTAATTGATCTCAAATTAAACAATGCTCAAAGCAATTTTACCAAGAAAAATTGGCAACAAACCTAACTTCGTCACAAATTTTGCAACGCTCGTATTTGGCTTACAGAAATATTTTAACTAAGGCTATAAACCAAACAAAACACCAAACTTAATTCTGTGTAATCATTCTTCCAAAACTGACAATCTGATACCATTAGATGTTTTTACTAGCAGTTAGTAAAATGAACAGTGGTAGATGTACTAACAAAGGCAATGTAACCACAGAGCATGGGGCTTTGACATCGAATTTGTATGCCTGCAGTACAGATACTGCGAATTGACTACTGTGTCAACGGAACATCAACCCGTACTTTGTCCTTGTCAAAGAAAACAGGAACAGGACTGTTGAGTGTGAACCGAACATCAACTGTACGTTGTCCCTGTCAAAGCAACAGGAACAGGGTGGTTCATCGAGAAGCTATGCAATTGTCTCCCAAGATATACCTATACCAAGCAAAGCAAAAGGTATTTCAGTTAGTAAAATCTTGTTTCATGTACTACAGGAGATCAGAGAGCACAATGACCTACTATAATGAAAGGGGAATGAACTGCTGACCTTTACCTGGCTAGCCGTTCCCCTCATTTGAATAACCTGTCAAAATCTATCACCTTGTGCTGACGTAGAGCCACCATTCCCCACATCATAGCTGGGAGTGTCCTAGGGAAATACTGGTGATATATCCTGTGCGTTTGAACGATCGAATACTTAGATCCAGGTTCAGTTCTATGACAGTACCCGTCCCTCCTATACGTTGCCTGCGACCAGTTGCTGATTCTATATCCATGGCTTAACTGCATGCTAAGAAGCGGGTGTTGATGTGCAATTGCAATCCAATCGCCATGCTGGTCTCCTACCGCGTATGGCAGTCCTTTGAAGAAGTTTTCAACAGGCTTTTGAGGCAATAGCTTCAGGTGATCAAAGCAGGTAAGGTAGAAAGAGGCATGCGCTTCGATCTGAAGTAAAGATGGGTGGTTTCTGAGCATGTATGCCTCAAAACGATCAAGGGAAGGATGCCTCATTTTGTTCAGCAAGTCTTTAGCGTCTTCAGTCAAGAGTTGATGATGATATGCATGGACATTACTAGCACTTGCTGAGATGGCTATCAATTTCTCAAGGGTGCTGCCAAGCTGAGTGTAATTTCTTTTCTGTCCTTCAAAAGTAATGTTCCTGGTCTTCCCATGAAAATTGAACCTGGGATAGAACTCGCTTGAATCAATATTGCAAGCTATTGTCATGGTCTCAGTATTAATATCTTCAAACTCCAGACCGGCTATGTGATGATCCTCTAGTTTGCTCAAAATGTCTCTTATAGCAGATTGGAACCAGCCTTTGAAAACCCATCTATCGTACAAAGTGTCAGGGGCGTTCTTCGGCTTGCTGAACATTACTGCTGGAAAGTTGCGCACGAACTCTACAGGATCATAGGACGCTTCAAGCATATCACCTAAGGAGCACCTGCAATATGTAGTAATTGCACACAGTGATCAATAATGCAATCTCACACATCCAAACTAACAAGTGCAGTAATAGCACACAATAATTAATAATGAAATCTCACACAGCTAAA